AACCATTATGTCAAAAAACGAGGGAGGGAAATACATTTCAAGATCACACAAAGTAACAACTATTTCTTTTTGAAATGTTGGTAAGATCTCAGGATCGATCACCTTGCTGCAAATTGACTTGAAGAAAAAACACAGTTTAGTTATTGCGCTTCTTACTTTTTCTGGAAGAATAGAACGTATACCTATCGGTAGAAAATATTCCATTATAACATGGCAATCATGCGTCTTTAAACTCTTTAACTTAAGGTCTTGCATAGACACAAGTCTTCTAATATCTGATGAGTAGCCTTCTGGAACTTTAACCTCACTTAGGAACTTACACAATATTTTTTCTCCTTTCTGGATAGAGTGTAAACAGCAGGTGGTAGATATGTTCGTGTTCCTTTTTTCACGGGTCCCAATTCAGTTCTTATTCCCATCTCTACCATGTCCTCCCTTGCTTTAAGACCATCCTTAGACTTCCCTTTTATATTGAGTAATGTACCAATAACACTGTCAAATACATTTTTTTCAATATGCATAACATCAAGAAAATGTCTTACGTACAAAGATTTCCAATATGGCAATTAAAAAAAAATCGACCTCTTCTTCCACCCACCTGTAACAACTTTATATGCAAAAGGCTTGCCAAACTGAATACTCACATCTTTCACCTTTTCAAATAATTGATCACCTGTCAATCCAGGCGGAGCTCTACGTTGTTCGGTATCTCTGTTGAACGCTTTTCTCCATCCACGATATTGATGTTTAGAATTTAAGAATCTACGATGACCGAGAAAGACATTCTTCTGACAAAGTTTCAATCGCATCGTATCGGTTCCATCTTCACAGATAGGACACACTTTTTCACCTTTAATGCTATACCCGGATAGATTTCCGTAGGCTGGAAAATCGTTAATTGTTCCAAACAACATCGCCCTCAAGTTGAAACTTTCTTTCCTATACCCATCATAAACCTCCACACCGTTCTCCCACAAAATCTTCAAATCTTCGATTAAAGGTTCCAAATATACGTCTATGTCATTTCCTGGTTGTTTAGGCCCAGAAATTAACATAGATAACATCATGTACTTACGCTTCATACATAGCCACAGAGGTAGGTTATAAATCATAAGAATTACAGGCCATGTGCTATGCGAGATACTTTGAATACCGTGTGGGTTCATTCCATCAGTAGACAATGCCAAGCGAAGGTTTCTTGCGTCTTTTCCAAATTCAGGATAATCATTATCAATTTTCATCCACTGTGGTGAATCTGCCGGATGTCGAAACTTTCCATCAACAATTCTTTCATCTACATGCCAAGTTAAATGTCTTGAATCGGTTTCACTACGATACATCCGTCTAAATCTCGGAATTATAGGAAAATACCATAAGACTTTTGCCGGAGACAACTTTTTCTTATATCGAGGGGCACCGCATTTAGGACACTCATTTAACGATGCATACTCGTTTCGAAACAAAACGCAATCTTTTGGACAGGCATGCATCTTGTCATAGCTCATGCCAATAGAGTACAACATCTTTTTGGCCTCATACGTTCGATTGGGGAGAACATTATCCTCTGGTAGCATATCTTTCATAAGGGCTAATAACTCTGTGAAACTTTTATCCGACCATCCATTGCCCGCCTTTAAGTTGTACAACTTTAATACCGCAGACAATCTTGTGAATTTTGTACAACCATTATACAACAGTTTCTCTGTGTCGCTTACCAACCTCTCAAACATTTTGGGACAATCATTAAGATCTTCTTCAAGCGCTTCTGCAATCTCTTCAACTCGATCATAATCGTATGTATCTGTGCCATTGTCATTTGAAGCATAGGTCCTATTATCCCCCGATTCATCATTCCCGTCACTTTTCTCACCATGCATATTCCAACATGTATAACTTCTATCAATTCCATACCGTATTAGATGCGATGCCAACTGAACCGCGTCAACCCGATTCCCATAACAGCAACACAAACAAGGACATGTCATTCGACCGGGGTCTTCGGCATGCGCAACAATAAACATAACAAATTCCGATACCCTGTTCTCGTACTCTTTCGACAATCGATTGGAATACATCCATGTCTTATCCATGGTTTACGGTTTCTGAGTCAATCTGAGCTAAATGATAAGTTAGAAAACAAAACCAATACTCAAAACTTGCACTTGCTCTTGCACAACCATATAACAAAACCAATACTCAATACTTTTCACTAAATTCATTTTATTCTATCAACTAATCACATTTTATGATTACATCACTAATCACAATTCTTAACTCTCACAATTTTATATAAGCATGCATTCTGTTACCTTAGAAAGTTGTTTTTGTTTCTTTATCCATCTCATTAACAAGTTAATTAATCACTTTACATTATCTCTAATTAAATATACATATAGATATAGATATATAGATACATAATAATGAATGGTAATGTGAAATGGGTAACCCCGTTTGTTAATGAATCATACTTTCCACCACCATTCACTAACACAACACAACATCATTAGCACAACCCTCTACATGTCTGTTTCTTATATACTAGTACACCCTTGTTTCATCAAACTCAAGGGCTACCCTATACCAAACTTCATCTGTTTCTTATATATGGCATGGCCTCATTTTAGTCTAAGATATGTTTTCTGATACGAAATTTTGTAATAAACAAAAAGGACAAAATATTTTGTATAGATTGAAAAGAAGAAACAATCACCTGACGGTTCTCTTGTTTTCTGACGATTTGACACGTTTGAGTTCTCCGGTGAGATATGTTGCTCTGAATCGGAAGGTCCTGAAGAAGTTAAAGAAACCGATTAATTTCCAAAACACATTAAACAAACATCAAAAGACAGAGAGCCTTAATCGGGAATCACAATTACCTGTCGTCCAACTAGTGTGAATGAGAAACACTAATTGTGCCTGCTAATCAATGAAACAAGAATTTTGTATGTCACTATGGCTTCCAAGAATATATTTCGTGCCCGATTATTCAATAAACGCTCAATAACTTTTAAAACATAATCACCTAACGGGAACCAAAAATTCAAGCTCTTATCCAATTCAAGTTCATGATATGAAAAATCAAGCTCAAAGTAAGCTAAAATCAACCGAACCAAATTCCGGGAAACAACTATGTAATCCTAATAATGCTCAATAAAACTCATCTCAAACAAGTGTTCCATGTGCACACGATAAACAACAATACCATAATCGAATTCGTCATTCAAAACCAAATCACACAATGTCATCACAAATTCAAAGCCAACATGTTTTAAAACAAAATTAGGAACAATCAAAATCAACACCAAGTTTAATTCATTCAAGATTAACTCAAAATGAAATAACATATTAATAACATCATTAGAAAATCATCAAAGGGTTTTAGGAAACTTTCAAAAATCATCAAACAACAACAACAACCAATACACTGTAAATGAGAAGAAAATAATAATCAACGAAAACCACAGTACGAACCTTGTGAAGAGAGGGACGAGTCGTGCAGCGGCGATGAGAGTTGACGATGGTGGCGATTGAACGGAAAGAGCTACCGTGAAAAAGCGCTTTGGACGAAGAAGGAACAGGAACGAAAGGGTTTGGGACGTTGGAAGAGAGGAGGAAACACAACAGCCACAGTACGAACACACATCTTTAATAAAAAACAACCTACGAAAGCGCTTTTAAAAGCGCTTTCTAATGGTCATGTATAACAGCGCTTTTTCATAAAAAAGCGCTTTCGTAGCATACCCTATAGCAGCGCTTTTAAAAGCGCTTTCTAAAGGCCAGATTTAGCAGCGCTTTTGAAAAGCGCTTTCTAAGGCTGACCTTTAGCAGCGCTTTTGAAAAGCGCTTTCTTAGGTTCCCTCTGAAAGGCACCCTTTAGCAGCGCTTCTCAAAAAGCGCTTTCTAAGGGTGACCTTTAGCAGCGCTTTTGAAAAGCGCTTTCTTAAGGTACCCTTTGAAAGCGCTTTTTTTAAGCGAATTTTTTTTAATACCTACAGCAACGCTTTTTCCTAAAAGCGCTTTCGTATGTGTGCTGCTAAAGCTTATTTTTGGCGTAGTGGTAGTATGTAATGATGCGAGACTAGTATTATATTTATAATAAATCTAACATACTAAACTAATGGGCTTTTTCACAAATACCCATTACAAGCTAACTTAGGGTACAAGCTAACTTAAAACAATTGGACATAACAAACATGCCTAATTCGATGCTAACAATCCTAGCATTCTCCGGTCACTGCATGCTTGAAGCTTCTTCGACTAATGCATACAATACTTTGACACCAGCATGCTACAACTCTGTCGAACTGTCGAAAATAAGAAGCTACCTTCGACCAACTAGAGTTTGATTCCAATATTTCCAGCTCTGAAAGAAATTCTGATGCTTCCTACTCTTACGTCGATCATTTATGTAAGAACCTCATTTATTTTTATACCAATTGGTTCCAGGATGAAATCACGAGTCTTTCTTGAAGCAACTTCTTGAATTATATTTTCGCATGAAGAAGTATTGTGAAGGCTTTCTTCCAAGTGCTTGAGCCACTGTTCTATTTTGTAACTAGAAATGAGAGAGAGAACTAACTATTTTCTAGTCATGATTTGCGGAGAGTCATTTGATCTACTTATAGTTGAGATCTCTTATAATCATTAAGATAATCATTTTTGTGTGTTCGAAAGATTCTGGAAGAAGTGAGACTATTTTTTTGATAGTTGATCGGAGTCGATGTGATCAATCTAGAACCTATTGAAATCAAATTAATCAAAAATACAAATGTATATTTCTATGTGTATCACATAAATAATTTTAACATGAATAACACTTATTAAAAAAAAAAACTAATATTCCACATAAAAAACACTTTTTAAATTTGTTGTCAACTTCCTGAAATCCCTTGATAGGGTTTATTTATCTCTCTTTTGCAGTTTCTGTGCAGCTGAGAGAGAACAAAAAAAATTAGAGTGAGAAGAAGAAGAAAAAAATTAGAGTGAGAAGAAGAAGAAACATGAATGTTAACGGAAAGAGAAGCTATCATTCAATTTCATCTCCTTCCCCATCAGCCCCAATTCTTCAAAACAAGACAACACTCTCTCCATTACCATTACCGTTAGGCAAAACCAAATCCCTCTTCGAAATCATCTCCACAAACCCTTCCCTTTCCGTCGAAAAATCCCTCGAAGATTCCGGCATCGATGTCACACCACAAGACGTCGAACAAGTCCTCAAGCTCTCCTACCGCTTCCCCGCTCAGGCGGTCAAATTCTTCCGGTGGGCCGGTCACCGCATCAACCACAACCACACTCCCTACGCTTGGAACCTCGTGATTGACATTTTAGGTAAAAATCGTTTATTTGATGCAATGTGGGACGCTGTTAAATCCATGCGGCGAGAAGGGTTGCTTTCGCGGTCGACTTTTGCTTCGATTTTCGCTAGCTATGTTAATGCTGGGAGAATTGCTGATGCTGTTACGACTTTTGAGGTTATGGATGGGTATGGTTGTGTTCGGGATGTTGTTTCGTTGAATTCGTTGTTGAGTGCTGTTTGTAGTAGTGGTAGGACTATTGAAGCTTGTGATTATTTGCAAATTGGGAAGAAACTTGTTAGGCCGGATTCGGATACGTATGCCATTTTGATGGAGGGTTTGGAGAGTGATGGGAATGTTGTTGGTGCTAAAGAGACTTTTGCTGAAATGGTTATTGAGATTGGTTGGGATTCGGCTAATGTTCCGGCTTATGATTCGATTCTTTGTACGGTGATTAAGGGGCCGGATGGAATTCGTGATGCGGTTAAGTTTTTTGATTCGATGAGAGATAGGAGATGTTATCCGGGGGTTAGGTTTTTTAGAGTTGCGCTTGATGAGTGTGTTAGGTTTCATGATATAAGGAGGGCGGAGTTTTTTTGGGATGTTATGTTGGGGAAAACCGCGTTGCAGCCGACGACAGCTATGTATAATTCGATGATTTCTTTGTATTGTTATCATGGTGATATTGATGCTGCTATGAAGATGCTTGATGGAATGGTTTATAAGGGGGCTTTTCCTGATTCGCTTACTTACAATTTGTTGTTTAGGTTTTTGATTAAAGGGAGGAAAACAAGGGAGGCGTCGAGGATGTTTGTGGAGATGCTGAAAAATGAGTGTTTGCCTGATCAGCTTAACTGTGATGCGGCGGTTAAGCTTTATTTGGATAAGGGAGATCCTGTTATGGCTATCAAAATTTGGAAATGTTTGGTTGAGAATTACCGTGAGGATTTAGAGGATACTGCTAATCTGCTGGTTGTAGGGCTTCGAGATAATGATAGGGTCCCCGAAGCAGTTAAGTATGCTGAGCATATTATTGCTATCGGAATCAAATTAACTTCTTCTACATTGTCGAAGCTGAGACAAAGCCTTGTCAAAGAAAGAAAAGAATTTGTGTATGATGAACTTATAGCAAAGTGGAAAGCGGCCTATTAGGTATAGCAAAGTGGAAAGCGGCCTATTAGGTATGTTAGAGTTTCACTAAAGTTGCTTATTTTAATGTCAATGCTGAGTTTGGTATTCTTTTAAAGTTTTATATGATGCAGAGTTGCTGGCATGGTTACCGGTATCTTATATTGCATACAATTCATATCTCAATTCAAAATAAAATTGAATCAACTTGATATGAATTGATTCGCGTATCTTTTTTGGATAGCTTTTGCGTATGTCGCTTGCTTTACCTATAAAAGTTATATATTTATTGAGTTGTATCTTATGATTCATATTAAGATTCAATTGAAGATTCGGAAAATAGGTCTCCATGATTTGAATCTCAATTCCGTACCCATGATGCTTGTGAACAGGGTATGGAATATGATGTAGTTTCTCTAGGGTGATACTTCAATTCTGCCGAGTACTAAGCAATAAATAAACTGTTTTAATTGAATATGCATCACATCCGCATATAGTTTATTGAACAGAATGCAAATGTTACTCGGTAAAGATGATTGAAGTTTGTCTATGATTTTGTTTTAGACATTGATATTTAAAAAAAAATCCATTATCAGTCTAAAATTGTATTTGTCAACCGCTCCTGTTTTGAACTAGATTATCAATTATCAAATTTGGTTTATTTATATTTTCCTGTTTGGATATGTTGCAGTTATTGTTTCAGGTTTTCACCTACTTGAATAATCAAAGTGCTATAACCCATACAAGCTATACCGGGAGTGGATTGGTTTTCTCAAAGATTTTATCGACATACAAATTTTGTAAATGGATTGTCTGGTTGATCCTATTGTGGTGTTAATGGGCACTCCCTATAAGTGAGTGACCTTGTAAGTTCTGCTCTATAGATGTGATTTAGTGTTGTAAGATATTTAGTGTTAGTTAAAAAGGGTTATCAAATATCAATTCTTCTCATTCCTCAGTGCTTTCAGTCTATTTAGGCTTCATGTTTTGGTGATGAGGTTATCCTTTATGACTTATGAGAGATCTTTAAGCACCTTAAAAACACTGAATTGTCATCAGATTTATGAATAAAATTCTTCCTAGCAACCCTGCTTCAAAAATCGACTCTATTTATTAGATTGTCTCATTAATGATTTTCCTGATGTGTTTGCTGGCATATAATAAGGTTACTGTCATGTTTGTCATAAAAATTTACAATTTGAGCTACCAATTTCGAGCTAACTCACATATGAACTTGTTTTTGTTTAAACTCTGATAGACTGCACTCAGCAAAGTTGTGAGAGTACCATTGAGTGAATCTTCAGACCTTGACATTCCTAAAATGATAGAGTTTAATGTTTATTTTGACTGTTTACGAGTTGAAAGGGAAGGGAGAGGAGAGGACTTTGGAGGAAGGAGAAAATAGAAAATTTTTTTGAGTGTTTTTGTAGAGAATGATAAATTTGTAATTGAGAGTATTATAACAACGTAAATTTGATTTGAATAATTTATCTAAACTCTCTAATCCTTTCGATATTCTTTCTCCTCTAATACACTTTTTAATTTGAATAGTTTATTTAAACTCTCTTACCCTTTCGATATTCTCCTCTAATACGATATTTCAATTTTGGAGGATTTTGTATTATAAAGAAAAATAAACTGACCTGTTCAAGTTGGATGATTGTCCTTGTTCTATTTTTCTTTCCTCCTCTCTTTTACCCAAACCCTCCACTTCTATCTCTTCCAAACTCACAATTAGAGCCTTAGAAAATCAAAATGCCTCTCTTTTACCCAAACCCTCCACTTCTATCTCTTCCAAACTCACAATTAGAGCCTTAGAAAATCAAAATGCAATAGTTGGATGACAAGATTCAGTAGTACATAAACCTCATAGTTGTACTCCACATGCAAGCAAGTTTCGAATACTGTTGGGACATGGGATAAGGATGGGTTTTGTTAGCAATCCACATGCATTCAAGTATAGCATACTGTTAGGACATAGTATACGAATGGGTTTAATTTCTTTATTCATCCCTATGACTTTTAACAAATATCTTTGGTGAAAATTTAAAAATATTTTTAGAGTTTGGAGATACACTTTCAAACGTATTTATTATTTATTATATTTAATTTTAGTTTGAAGATGTATTTTTAAAATTATATCTGGTATGTTTCAGATGTGTATATTCAAAAATAGGTTTGATACTTCAAAACAAAAACAAAAACAGAGAGAATATGAGTATTAGCAAGATCTACAAACCATAACAATTTGACATTAAATTAAAACACTCAACATTACATAAATAATTGTTAATAGAAATTTAACATCACATAAGTAGGTAGTTCAGAACGTTGCAACATGCTAATAATATCTTCGACGAATTTTACAATCTTCGCATCCACTTCAATCAGACCTTTTGTTGCATAACGACTAAAAGTACTCCACATAACCTTTAAATCTTCACCCGTCTTCAGTTTGAAGTTGGTGAACTATATCTTTCCTTCGCTGTCAAACGAGACTGAACAATACTCGAGCTTGACAACTCTTATTTTTTGGATATCACAGGAGATTATTCATTTTGAATATCAGGTTGGCAAGAGTGGTGTCCTCGCATACCCTAAATTGAAGTGACAGCTTCTCATCATTGAAATTATGTATTCATTTTCTAATTTTGGATGTTTTATAGAAAATAAGGGATGATATACACCTTATTTATACAAGTCTTGAATCACTTTGAACCTTAGAAACTTTATCATATCATCAGAGCACTTTTCAGAGATGCATATCTAGATAAACCCTAGTAAATTACGAAAAACAGATGTATTAAAATATGCACATCCGAAAAGTGTTATGTTGTGTTTTTTAATTATAATGGGGTTTATCCGGATATGCATATCTGAAATCAACCCTTAACCAAAAGCAGACCATAAACTTAGAAAACATAAACAAAGTTGTAAATCATAAAATTTGTAAATAGAAGAAGTCGACATTTATGTCATCATTGTTGATTATATATATTACTTATGTATTAAATTGTATCAAGATTACATCGTTGACGATAATACATTCAAAAAGTGTATCAATTACAATCTAAAATGCATCAAAAGATGTATCACCGCATAAATATACAACTGGTTCTTCTTTCAACTTTTCATTATTCGATTCTCTTTCAACCTCACTCAATTTTGTGAACTTTTTCATTCTTTCCAGAAATTGATCCGGTCAAGTTTCTACCTCTTTTGTGGAATGTGTCATCCACTCCAACGATGTACTTGGTATAGAGCACTCCTGTTTTAAATAAACCTCAACAAAATGTAACAATTTTGAAAGCCACCCTACACACATGATGCATCTAGAAGGATCTTTAGGTGGGCCACTCCGAAGTAGAAAAATATCTCCAAGAAACCATATATTGTCAAATCGATACACACTTTGTCATATGCACTTGCTATAAGATGACCCATTTCAGGGAAGCACATCCATTTTGAAAATGGTGCGGAACCGCTAACACAAGGAGTAAGAGCATCATGAATTGCATTCAAATGCTCTTTTTTCTCGTATAACAATGTGTAGAATTTCCGACGCATTGTCAACTCTTTCAAAAGTTGTTGGCATACAAGAAAGTGATTTTACTCACTTTTACTGAGCAAGCTAGATATGTCCAGATAACCGAAATTACCATCCTTTTAACACTTACAATCCTCTCAATCTGTTTGTTAATAAAAAACGACATTTCTTCATTAAATATTATTTTCAACATCAACGGTGAAGGAGGTTGTTTGCTAATGCGATCACTCTTATAAACACTTTTTTTTTTATAGATTTTTGAGTTGGATAATTTGAAAAATGTGAATCAACATGTTCAAAGTATGAAGGAGATCATTTCGTTGAATTTTCATCTTGTGTCGGTTTGACCTTTTGAGGTGCACATTTAGTTTTAATCGGCTTTGAAAGAGGTTTCAAATCTGTGGTTTCTGGAAAGACAATCTTCCTCATCAGCTCTTTGACGTGCAATTTTACGGTGTCATATGCTTTAAAAAATCTATCTTAGATTATTTCCCACCCGATCATGATAGTTATACCTGTTTTATCATCCTTTATCACACCATATTCATCATAAAACCATAGCCTTTTCTAGTGACTAGATTTCATTCATACTTATCAGGAAATCAAGATTCTTTTTTTTTGTTTGAAATGAGACAAGCACATGGAAGACCGTAAGTATTCCTAACAGTACATCCATACTTTGAACTATCTGAACCTTTCATCTCTGCTCGCTTCACTTCGTGAAAAATGAAATTCAATCTCGTCCGAGATACGTTTCCAACCAACTGCGAATAAAGAGTGTTATTTTTGAATTTGTGTTCTAATACGGTAATACTCTGACCAAAAGTTATTTGTATTTCATTATGATAGTTTTGGAGCATTTGGTTCACGACGTCCTACTCTCTCTACAAAAATCACACTTGCTATCACCTAACCATTTCTTCAGTGTTGAATATACATATTCGAATCTGTTAGTTGTTGTATTGTCGAGGTGTCTAACCTAATCTACCCAAGCACAAACAATATTTTCCTTCACTTGGTACAAAATAACACTCTCAACGTATTTTAGGAAATATGGATATCAGAACATACACTCCTAAAAGGCATTATAGAGGCAACATACAAGTCTTTTGTAGATGAATTTAATATACCATTCAATGCATCCATTATCTTTTCCAACATCACACCAGGTTTGGCCATTTTTTCTTCTTCATCCTTGATTTGTTTGGTGCCTACCGTGGGTTTAAATCAACTTCTCACATTTTTTGTTATGTGATATCGACACAATAATACGTAAGATGTAAGAAACACCTTTGCAACCTAATTCATCAATGCAGTGTCTCGATCTATGACATATAAATTCGACATGTTTTCTTGGTCCTTCAATAAGATCTTGCACATTTCCAATGCCCATGTAACGTTGACCTCTTATTCAGATTCCAAAAATGAAAATCCTACTGGAAAGTCTTCTTCGTAAAAGTAACACCAAAAATTTCCA